TACTCTTCTGCACCCCTGAACCCTTAACCTGCTAAACTCCCTAAACCCTAAACTCCCTAAACTTCCCGAGGCCCTAGACTCCCGACTCCCTAAACTCCCAACTCCTACACCGTAAACCCTAAACTCCCTAAACCCCACACGCTAAACCCTCGAAGCCCTATACACCACAAACTCCCCAAACCCTACACCCTAAACTCCATAACACCAAGTGGCCACCCAGCCGGAGCACAGCCCCGGCGCGGAGGCTTCGGCCGTCACGGGGGCAGATCCTGTCGGAGAAAGTCGGCGTTTTGGGCCCTTTTAATGTAGGGGCCTGGGCCTCCTTTATTGTATATACTTCTACAATGAGGAACCCCAAGGATTACGTAATGTTGGTATTGATTTAGGCTTCTATAATATCATCTTTCGGGACTAGGGCTTAAGGTTTGGGAATGGTTTTTGTTTGGGCCTTTGTGCGGTTTAGGGTTTTGATTTTCGGGCTTAGGAATTGGATTCTTTGAGCCTTTGATGCGGTTTCTTGAACAGACTTGCGCAAGCATTTTCTAGAAGGATCCTAGCTTTCTGGTGTTTGGTCAGGGATCTATGAGGATCCTTCTACGCTTTCCGCGAGGTTTCGTTTTTAGCGTGCAGTGGAAGTCAGGATTCGGCGGCTTTCTGTGTGGTTTGATTCGGCTTCAAGGCTAGAATCCAACCCGGATTCGGGATTGGGGTGTTTGGTAATGTAAATGCTGAGGGTCCGTGGATTCACAGATTCTGTTTGTTGGGCTGGGAAAATGTTTCGCGGTGGCAAACCTGTCGGATTGAATCGAAGATGCTTCAAGCTCTGTCCACGGAACGCACGGGTCAGTTGTCTCAAAATGTTCCCTACACCGCAAAACCACGCAAAACCAGAAACTCTACAAGACTGACTATGACTAAACAACGGCTCGGATCTTAATTTGAAGCCTGCATGGATCCTTAAAAACAATGAAAATTTCATAGGTACCGATTGGGTTCCATCGGTGATCAGGTATTGTGTTGATAAGTTGATAAGGGTATTTCTGCGGCATCAGTGTTAGTGTTGTAGCTTCGATGAACGCGCAATACGAAGGTGTGATTCCTTCGTACCCAGATGCTTCTGTCGACTCGGTTGTGATCATTATATGGAAGACTCACTACTACCCATTACTATTGCAAATACTATGACTATGGTTGCTATTATTGTCTTATTGTTTGAGTCTTCTTCAGATGATGGTTGTGATGATGATGATGATGATGAAGATGAAGAAGATGATGATGTTGATAGTAAGTGCTTCTTATGTGCAAGATATGACTATACAGTCTTACGTTCATAAAGTGCCAGTGTCGCGACTGGATCTCTTGAGCATCCCAAGACGCAAACCCCAGTGTGCACGTCTGAACCCTCACCAGGACAATCCTCGAAACCCAAGGCGCCGGAACTGAACCCACAACCCCCAGCCCCAAATCCCATGATCGCTTGGCCTTGGCTAATTCGTAGCTCCCCCAATGTCCAAAGAAACAAGTCCCAAAATCGCGACCCGCTCAAACCCCAAAACCCCAGACTTGGCCCAAATCTGTGCAGATCCTCAAACCCACAAGCCAACACCGGAATGTCTCAGTAATCGATCCCTGAGGGGCGAAGTGCCGCAGCAGCAGTACCGAAAGGCCTTCAGCATTGTATCGATAACCATTCACAGTCTGGTATTTCGGGCCTTAAAACCCTACGTGTTGGAAAACCCAAAATCCCGGTTCGAACGGTCCTGGCGATCTCTTCCGCGGGGTTGCCAACCTGCTTCAAAGCTTTGGGGATTTCCAATGTAGGGGTTCGGGGTCTTTCGTGCTTGGGGCGCGGTGACGGGAAGGGGGGGTCAGGGTTCTAGGTGTTTGCCATGCAGAAAGTAGGGTTGCAGTGTAAGGTTGCCGGGTACTTCGGCTTAAAATTGTTCAGACATGAGCACTTCACAAGATCGTGAACGGTGTTGGGGTGTACCCGTATACCCAAAGAAGCACCGTGGGAATCCAGATTTTTTTGTGAAACAAAAAACTCGGTAGCGGTCCTGGATTCTGCTCAAAATAAGACTTGGGCTTTGGGGGATTATAGTATAAGAAGGAAACTTTCGGGGACGCGATTATTTTCTTCATTCTGAAGCCTCAATTTCTGCTTACACAACCCATGGAAGGAACCCTGGACGCCTGAAAATGCCTTAACTTCTAAAACTATATACGAAACCTAAATCCCTAAACACCAATCTCATCCGAGGGCTCTTCATTGGTCCGTTCATTGCTTTTGAACGGATCACTTTGAGTTAGATTCTGGGACTGGTTTGGAAACGTGACCTGGCCCGTTGCAAGGTGTAAGCCTTAAAATTGTGAAGCGTTGGTATATAGAACGTGCCCGGGCATCTCAAGAGCAGGGTGCGGCTACGGTGATTGACTTTGCTCGTCTAATTGACCAACAGCCGTCTCCAGCAATCCGAAAACCTGAAACCGACGATTGGGACAAGATACTCGCCCAAAAAAGATTGACGTCTGCGGGGTCTAGAGTTTTGGGGCTTTGGTAAAGTTCGGTTTTGGAAGGTGATCGATCTTCGGAATCCACGGTTGCGCAAGGACAAGCAAAGTAGCCAAGCAAGCAAGCTCCTGCATCCGCTTCAAACTTTGGCATCAAAACACAAATCGCAGCTTCACAAACTAGCAGTTACTAGTAGTAGTAGTAGTAGTAGTAGTCTTCTGCAACCGTAACATTGCTGATGTTGCTCGAGCATTATCAACGCACAGACATGTCCTAGCGCATCCGCGCCGGTCCCTTGAAAGCGCGGTGTTGCAGGACTTGTTGTGAACCAGCACGGCTCCTAATAGCTTGCACCTCCCACCCGCACCACCCGGGGTCCATCCGATGAAACACTACAACCTGACTTGGAGGATGGGGTGTTCGCAACGAACGAAGTGGGTGTATATGCTTAACCGCATTTTGGAGCTTTTTCTGCACCCGACACATTGCCGCAACACCTAGGTCTTGCTTTCGACTGTTGTGGCCTTTTGGTCGATCTTTATTGTCAACTCTCCAAAATCTGCCCGGGACCCTCCAAGTTTTGCCATCGACCATCCTAGAGCCTCCTCTTCTTAGGTGTTGGGGCACTAGGCTCCAAGAGCTTACAGTCCCAGGCTTCGGGCTTGAAGTATTTCGAGTCAAAGTGCAGGGTTATGGTAACCGGCGCTTTTGCAGCAGACGGCCGTTCGGGTGTAGGCTTACCGGGCTGGGTTCAAGGTAAAGGGTTTAGAGGTGTTTAGGGGTTCAGGGGTTAGGACTTAGTTGTTAAGGGTAGAGGTGTTTTGGGGTTTAGGGTTTAGGATGTAGGGGTAAGGGGTAGAGAGGTTAAGGGGTGTAGGGTGTAGGATCGAGGGCTCAGGATTGAGGGCATAAGAGTCTAAGACTGCCTGTCAAGAATGGGTGAGTCGTGCAGGGGCTCTGCTTTCAGGGGTACCCATAAGGGATCCGTTGAGTTAAGGGTCTCTTGAAGGGCGCTATACGAGCTTATTATGTTATATGAACTATGATGATGTTAGGTGTACTGTAAACTCCTCCGCCAAACAACCGCCTTCAAGACCCGTGGCAGAAGAGCACCAACGCTTTAATTTACCGTTGTCACTCCTGGTCAAAAACGCCACTAACACCTACATGAAGATTATGTAGGCAGGTTCTAGGTTCTAGATTCTTTATTACATTATAGTTACTTAGGACCGGTTGGGCTATCCTTACGCTTCGACACCTTCCGCCTGCAACTCGTTGCCCTAGGATCCCGAAAGCCTAATGTCCCTGACCTAATCCTCGAAACACGCAATGCCCCTGAGCTCGACATGCCACAGGTCCCTGAGGCCTGTAGCAACCCGAATCACGCGACCCTAAACCCTGAAACCGTCAACTGTCAAAAAAAACCGTACTCTATTGAGATGCAGAGGAGATCGGTTTGAGGCCCCTGCGAGGATCTTGAACTCTGCGTGTGCCACCTGTAGAAGAAAAGGGTACTTTAGGGTCTGAGAAAGATTCTGTAGACTGCAGGTTGGGGGTTAAGGGCGTGCGGACGCAGAGCCTAAACATGCCCTTTCAACTCTCATCTAAGACCCGAACCCTGCATGCCGAAACCACAGCAAGCGTGTGTCTCAACCAGGTGCCCACTCTGGGAGCCCAGATAATCGGAACTGGGCTTTGATATAGGGATTATGATGCAATGGTATTTCTAGGTCGCAGCCTTCTATCATTCACCCTGAAAGCCCCAAACAAAGCCAGACTACTTTGTGGCAGCCTGACTGAGTGTTGAAGCCTAACATGAGGTAAGGGTGACTAGTGCAGCGATTCTCCTGCTTTGCTTTAGGGGCATCAGGCTAAAACCCTAGAACATCCTCAGGAAACACTGGACACTAATGTTGAATCTGTCAGCATTCGCAGTTTGGCAGTGGCATGGCTTCTGGGCTTCTCCTCTACAATATAATATAATAGAACATAATATAATATAACATAATATAATATATGGGGACTTCAGCTGGGCTCTCTGGAGGTGCCGGCGCGGGAGCCGGAGGCCTCGCGGTCGCTGAACTCGCAGGCGGGCTCCCCTCCGTGAGGGCCTGGAACGCTGCAGCCGTGAAGAAGGGCTTAGGGTTTTAGGGGTTTAGGGTTTTAGGGTTTAGGGAAGTTGTTTTGCATTTATCTCAGCAGGCTCCGTGAAGTGCTTCGTTTTGAAACTCAGGGCTCAAGAAGACTGAACCAGATTGCAGTCGCTTCATTTCTTTGTCGTGTCGTGTCTGGCGATGCTCGGCACATGAAGGAAGAGCTGGTCTCCGAAGTGGGCACGATGCGCGCGCTCCCCAAAAGTCCAGGTCAAGGCTGTTTAGGACAGCGAGGAAGCTCCCTTAGACTTCCATTTGTGCCGATGCTGCAGGTGCAAGGGTTATTCTTGTCAACGGAACACCCTGGATAGATCATCAATAGCGGTTGTCGTTTCATGCAGCTTCCCCCACCCATCGAAGCTTTGTCATGGGCAATGCCAGCAGAACTTCTGAGACCCTGGCTATCATGCTACAATGCAGTAGGACAGTTCATGGCATCATCCTAAACCCTAAACCCTAAACCCTAAACCCCTAAACCGTAAACCCTATACCCTAAACCCCTAAACCCTAAAACCTTAAGATTGCAGTAGCTGGCTGCCGAGGTGCCGAGACGGCAGCAGATCTGACGCCATCGCTGGAGGCCATGCAGGCCAGTCGTCTTCGTTTCAGGAAGTGCTTGCAGTGCTTGGATGGGTCTTGGGGTTCGGCCTTAGGTGCAGTTGTTACAAGGCTTGCGACTTGGACCCTGTTACTTGCAGCTCGATCTTAAAAGATTGCATCCTGAGGTGTTAGAGGTCTCGTTCTAGTTGCCGGTCACGCACCTGAAAGCAGGTGCGACTTTTGGAGCAACTTGAGCAGAAGGCCAGGTTCCTCAAGCCGAGGATGTGGGAGGATTCATGTCGAGTAGAAGAGCTTGTGGATTCCTGCCACAGCTGCAGCTCTTGGCTTTGGGCTTCGTGGTGTCGCGTCTGACCTTGGCGCGCAGAACGCCTCAGCGGTCGGCTGATCAGGTGGAGCGCTGGGGCGAGCGCTTGGAAGCACGAATGCCGCACCCTTGGCAATAAGAGCCAGCGCGCGGAAGCTGAGAGCATCCAAGCAGGGATCCGTGCTAGCACGTGATGCCGATTTCTTCCAGGTAGCTTTTAAATACAGCCAGCTTCGTTTTCAGCGACTGTAACCTGGTAAGGCTGGAAGTTCTGAACACCAAAGTTGAGGAAGTGGCAGCAAGTGGCACGGATGCACAGAGCAAGGGGCAGCTATTCTAGCACAGGGAAAGGTGGCCGGCCCGACTGCATTGAACTTCGACGGCAAGCCGGGCTGCCTCTTGAGGCCTCCGCACCGCCATGAGAGCCGAGCAGGCACCCGTTGCATTGCACCAGTGCTGGGAGTGCCGTGCAGCCAGCTTGCTCAAGGACCCAAACACGGGCAAAAAGCCTGCCACCCAGGCCGGGATGATGCGACAGCAGTTTTTGGGTTTAGGGTTCAACTCCCTCGCTGCAGGCAGGCGCCAAGCCGGAGCATACACCGAAGAAGTCCCTCCGTGAGAAGGCCGCAAGCCCGGGGGCAACCTCGCTTCGGCTCTGAATCTGATGCGAAGCCACGACCATAAGTCGTTCCTTCCTCTGCCGTCGAGTGCCGTGCCTCCAAACGCTGCCTCTCGTTCGGGTATCATCTTGCACGCCAACATCAGCCATCCTTCGTGTTTCCCCTTGAACAGTTCGGCCTCGCGGACCCCAAGTACGACGAGAAGATCGAACTCCTGAAACGAGAAGACGGTGCAGAAGCCAAGTACGCGAAAGCGCTGGAGATCTCCGGAGGAGAAGAAAAGCTGCGAAGCTTTCAGGACCTGAGTGCCTTGGCTCTAGTGAGATGCATGCTCCGATAATCTGCAAAGCCTTTATGAATGTCCAAGTCTTACGTCCCCCTCCTGTCAGGTAACGAGCTGCAGAGGAAGCATGGCCTCCACGAGGAGCAGAAAGGCATCATTGAAACCGGCGAGCGCGCCGCACGTAGCGTCAAGGCCACGGCGGGCTGGTGGGACTGCATCGTGGCTCGTGATGACAAGCTAAATTGCCTTGTCGGGACATGCGCCAGGTGAATTTCCAGCCCTTCTTTCCCACTCTGGATGAGCTCTTTGAGTTTGCGCACAAGCACAAACATCATTTCTTCGACCTTGTGGATAGGGTCGCGACAGCCACTCATGGTACCTGTGCAAGGCCTGAGCTGAAAGGCAAAGAACGCTGCTCGATTGCGAGAGTGGTGTTCTCGCCGGTTTCCCGCTCATCCGAATTTCTCGAGTCCTAGATTTCAAAGACGTCTGCAAGAAGTTGAGGCTGCGAGTCAAAGGCAAAGTTTAAGTACATGGATGCCGCCGGCAACATCGAATGGCGCTGCTGGCTTGTTCTGAGAGCATGGCCAGACGCTTGCCGTTCGCCGTTCTCTTCATGTCTTCTAGGACTGACGGCGAACCAGGCTTCTCATTCTTATTGCTCTTTCTCTTTTGAGCACGGCCGGGCTTTCGATCTTGCAGGCTGAGCTGGATGGAAATCTCAGAGTGAAGATGGGGATCCCGAGAGAGCAGCCACACTTAGAGGGGCCAAGTCGCTGCCGGCATATATACCTTGGTTTGAAGGGCAACGAAATCACGCAAGTGTGGCGTCTCCAGGGCATGCAAGGTTTGTCTCCTGCACTGTCGCGGTGTTTGAAGCTAGTCTTGTTTGACATCACCCAATTATCTGAAAGCCAGTTCTGGTGTCCAAAGGTACGCTGCAGAAAACTGAGGGCAGGAGAACCGGCCTTCAAAGCAGGATAGTTGGTGTTGAGAACGTAGCTTGATGGTATCCCGCGGCGGCGCAGGGCTTTGTGAGTGCAGTGCATCGTATACAATTTTGCAGGGTGAATGTGCCCGGGAGATTTGCAAAGCACCCCCAGAAACCCGGTGCTGAGTTCTTTGCGATTGGTAAGTGCCGGTTAGTCAAGTCCGGTGGAGTAGAGTCTTCGAAGAAGAGGAGGACCGCGACCATACTTACAAGTTGATGGATTTAGGTTGTTTTTGATCGAAGCCAGGCACAGACTTACTGACATCGTTCGAGACACGCTCAGCTACGAGAACTTGGAAGATATGTACCATGGACTGAAGCTGATCGATGAGGACGCACTGCTGCAGCGTGGTCGAGAGACTGCGCAGTGGCAGGACAAGGCATGTAAGGCACATTTTGCGGCTGGCGAGGACAAAAACGTTGAAATCGTGGAGTTTAACGACCGGCCACGAGCCCAGTAGCTCCACAGACGTGTTTATCAGCCCCTGTCTCTAAAGGGCTGTGGGGAAGGTATCAGACTCCATTGGATGGCGGATACCGCGACCTCCAGCTTACGCTTCGAGTGCAAGGCATCCTTCCCGCCTTCCGCAATCGTTCTTAATCCTAAGCTTTGGTGTGTTAACTTCGGCAGCAGAGGATGGGATTTCGCCCCAGGTGAGTTGGTCTGTGAGCTGCAGCTTACAACAAAGTACATGCTCTTCATCAAGGCCAATGCACCCAGACTGTTGTTGCCAAGCTAGTGGTGACATTGCGTGGTTCTTTCTGTGCCAGGAGTCGAGTGGACACAGGGTGTTCGAGATCAAGCGACAGCTCATCGCCGATGTAGCGGCCAACAGCGAGCTGGCATGTCAGAAAACACTCCTCTGGGCTGGAAAGGACGCAAAGGCAATTCTGTTTGTCACTGTGCAACAAGTATTGCTGTTTTTGCGACCATTAAGTGAGCAAGCGCTGTAATCCTGGCCTTTTCGTTGCTGTTGATATCCCTGACTACCAGCACCACTGTTGCCATTGCGAAGACTCCTATTTCATTCTCATGACGAAGGCAGAGTGATCCCAACCAAGAACTCTCTCCAAGCCTTTAGGAGATGTAGTTCGATGGTTCGATGACGAAGACGAGCCTGCTGAATTGTGGCGTGGAGTCGTCTAGACTGGACTGCATCCCGGACAGGCTGTGCTGCGGGAGAAGAAGAAGCCCATGCTCCACATAGCAGCTTCGCAGGGCAACTCCCGCATGGTGCATCCCGGCTTGTTGGAGATGTCACTAGGTGTGGTCTGCTACCAGGGGGGTCCTTGCCAAGTGATCAAATTGCACAAAGTTTTTTCAAACAAGTGGTTACGTCAGGATACATGCAGGTCTGTGTGTCTCGATACCAATAACATTGACATGACAAGCAACAGCGCGGTTCATTGTGCTCTCTTAGTCGTGCCTGAATCCTTTTTGCAGCTCCACACCTCTTGCTGAGGCAGCTCTTCCTTCAGCACGGGGCGGATGTAGACCTTGAGGAAGAGACTACTCAGCGCACGGCCCTGCACGAGGCCCTGTCTTTGACAAAACAGCGGCACAGGACTTTTGTCCTGCTCTTTGCAGGCGATGGCCAAGGGGCACGCTTGCGCAGCATGGGCCCTGATCTCGGCGGCTGCGAAGCAAGACGTCGAGGATGCAGACGGGCAGACGCCCCTCTTGCTCGGAGACTTCTCTGCAATGATTCTTCAGGGTCTAATGAAGAAATCGTAAACGCACTGACGACGAAGCCTGAGCTTCTCTTGAGAGATTCAGGGGCGGTTAGGCTCCAGAAGGTATTCAGGCATGCCGTTGCGGTAAGTTATCATTCCGTTGTCGCGGAGACGTCTCTTCGTCTTTACGTCCAGGAATGCCACGGTGTGTGGGTGCGTTGGGTGTTCCTACAAAGAGATTGTGGAGACATTGACATAAGCCCTCGCGCAACGACGCAGGAGCCATCATGAGCCCAAATCTAGACCGCCCCACTCCATGCACCTCTCGAGGACTCTTGCGCCAGCGCGTGGACCCCGAGAGCGAGGCCGTGGCGAGGCTGGCCTCGAAGCGTTCAACTCGATCCCCCAACAGGACACAGACCCTCAAAAGCCAGAGCGAGGAATAATCTGTTCTGCTGCAGTCCAAGACGCAGCCCGCTGCGCGCTCTATTTCCCCAAGACCAGCTGCAACACTTCGTGCAGGTGCGTCTCGATGTTGTCTCAGAGGTTGGGCCTGGAGGACAGACATCGTCCAACATCTCCTGATCGGCTCATTTAAAGAGCAGAGCTGAAAGCCAGAGCGGTGGAGTCTTCTTCCATAGTTTCAGGGCTGGAGCCGTGGCCACAGGAGTTGCGGCGAGCCAAGCAGAAGTTCAGCGAGGTGGTGCAACAACGGCTCAAGAACAGCTCGGAGCTCGTCAGTGCGTCTACAACTCAGTTGCTCTGTAGTTGCTCCGCTTTGCCTCAAACAGGGACTTGTCACAGGAGCCGGTTCGTGATCAAGCCGGTGTTGCAAATTGCGTCTCCTAATTGATTTTCTCGCAGCGCTGAGGGCCTACGACAACAATGTGCAGAAAGTCGTCGAGCGCCTGCGCACGTGGGCGAACCCCAACAGCATCACGAACGACGGGAAGCACGCGCTCCACCGAGCGCTGGCTCAGGGCCACACTGCCGTGGCCAGGCAGCTGCTGACCTATAAGGCCGACATCTAACGGGCTTCGCAGCAATGGGGGGGTAGCTTGTGTAGGGTTCGTGCCAACCGAACAAGGCCAACATCTGGTCGAAGGAGAACGACAAGAGCGCATTAGACGTCGCCCTGGAAGTTGCAGCAGAGAAGCCCGGATCTCTCGAGGTCCTAGTCGACGTTCATGAGCAGTACAAGGCCTGGGCACAGTTGCCTGTGTTTGGGAAGCTCGTCTCTTGCTCTAGACTGTATTCCCAGAGGTAGGGCTCTAGGTGGAGATTGGGGGGAGTGAAGATGCTCATTTCAACGGCCACATGTAATATGTCGCTCATTGCTGCAGGACTGCAAGAGCGATGCCGGTCGCGGCCTCAGCTGCAATGGTCTCCAAGCCGGCTCCCGAGCTTTGGTGAAGCAGCTGCCTGTGATGGAGACTCCTCGACGCCCTTCTCGGTTCTCTCGTTTCTGGATTCTGGAGCTTGGGGGGGCGGGGGGGCAGGTGACGGCTCTTGACAAGCATCGAATCTTAATGGAACACAAGCCTGATCCGCTGAGTCCGGTGAAAAGCGCACATGCAGATCAGCGGCCTTCGCTAGCAAAGATTCTTTTCGACACGGCTGGAGTGCATGGGATGCT